CACTTAGTGGGTCAACACTTAGTGGGTCAACACTTAGTGGGTCAACACTTAGTGGGTCAACACTTAGTGGGTCAACACTTAGTGGGTCAACACTTAGTGGGTCAACACTTAGTGGGTCAACACTTAGTGGGTCAACACTTAGTGGGCCAACACTTAGTGGGCCAACACTTAGTGGGTCAACACTTAGTGGGTCAACACTTAGTGGGTCAACACTTAGTGGGTCAACACTTAGTGGGTCAACACTTAGTGGGTCAACACTTAGTGGGTCAACACTTACTGGGTCAACACTTAGTGGGTCAACACTTAGTGGGCCAACACTTACTGGGTCAACACTTAGTGGGTCAACACTTAGTGGGTCAACACTTAGTGGGCCAACACTTAGTGGGTCAACACTTAGTGGGTCAACACTTACTGGGTCAACACTTAGTGGGTCAACACTTAGTGGGTCAACACTTACTGGGTCAACACTTAGTGGGTCAACACTTAGTGGGTCAACACTTACTGGGTCAACACTTAGTGGGTCAACACTTAGTGGGACAACACTCGGTGGGTCAACACTTAGTGGGTCAAACACAACACTTAGTGGGTCAACACTTAGTGGGTCAACACTTAGTGGGTCAACACTTAGTGGGCCAACACTTAGTGGGTCAACACTTAGTGGGTCAACACTTACACTTAGTGGGTCAACACTTAGTGGGTCAACACTTAGTAGGGTCAACACTTAGTGGGTCAACACTTAGTGGGTCAACACTTAGTGGGTCAACACTTAGTGGGTCAACACTTAGTGGGTCAACACTTAGTGGGCCAACACTTAGTGGGTGGGCCAACACTTAGTGGGCCAACACTTACTGGGTCAACACTTAGTGGGCCAACACTCGGTGGGTCAACACTTAGTGGGCCAACACTCGGTGGGTCAACACTTAGTGGGTCAACACTTAATGGGCCAACACTTACTGGGACAACACTTAGTGGGTCAACACTTACTGGGCCAACACTTAGTGGGCCAACACTTAGTGGGTCAACACTTAGTGGGTCAACACTTAGTGGGTCAACACTTAGTGGGTCAACACTTAGTGGGTCAACACTTTGTGGGCCAACACTTAGTGGTCAACACTTTGTGGGCCAACACTTAGTGGGTTACCTGGTTGATACCTGGTTGATGGGGTTGTGGGAGTTCTACTCCCCAAGCCCGGCCCGAGGCCAGGCTCGACTTGTGAGAGTTTGGTCCACCAGGCTGTTGCTTGGAGCGGCCCGCAGGCCCACATACCCACCACAGCCCGGTTGGTCCGGCACTCCTTGGAGGAAACAATCTAGTTTCCTCTTGAAGATGTCCACGGTTGTTCCGGCAATATTTCTTATACTCGCTGGGAGGACGTTGAACAACCGCGGACCTCTGATGTTTATACAGTGTTCTCTGATTGTGCCTATGGCACCTCTGCTCTTCACTGGTTCTATTCTGCATTTTCTTCCATATCGTTCACTCCAGTACGTTGTTATTTTACTGTGTAGATTTGGGACCTGGCCCTCCAGTATTTTCCATGTGTATATTATTTGGTATCTCTCTCGTCTCCTTTCTAGTGAGTACATTTGGAGAGCTTTGAGACGATCCCAATAATTTAGGTGCTTTATCTCGTCTATGTGTGCCGTATATGTTCTCTGTATTCCCTCTATTTCAGCAATCTCTCCTGCTCTGAAGGGGAAAGTGAGTACTGAGCAGTACTCAAGACGGGACAACACAAGTGACTTGAAGAGTACAACCATTGTGATGGGATCCCTGGATTTGAAAGTTCTCGAAATCCATCCTATCATTTTTCTGGCTGTCGCAATACTTGTTTGGTTATAAACGTTAGATCGTCGGACATCCTTATTCCCAAATCCTTAACATGTTGCTTTTCTACATATAGGCAAATTTAATTGTGTTTTGTACCCTGTATTATGTTTAAGGCCCTCATATTTCACCGTACCTGAGTACCTGGAATTTATCGCTGTTAAACATCATGTTATTTTCTGCTGCCCAGTCGAAAACTATTAATATCTGGTTGCAGTTTTTCAATGTCTTCAGCAGAGGTAATTTTAATGCTGATTTTTGTATCATCTGTAAAGGATGACACGAAGCTGTGACTTGTATTTGAGTCTATATCTGACATGAGAATAAGGAACAGCACTAACACAAAGACTGTTACTCTTTGTGTTCTGTTCGACAGAAAACTGAGTATCCAGCGTCCTACTTTACCGGTTATTCCCATTGACCTCATTTTGTGTGTTATCATTCCATGATCACATTTATCGAATGCCTTTGTGACGTCCGTGTATACCACATCTGTTTGTCTTCTAATGCCTCAGTGATTTTGTCGTAGTGGTCAAGTAGCTGTGCGAGGCATGATCTTCCTGCTCTAAATCCATGTTGGCCTGGGTTGTGGAGGTCATTGGTCTCCATGAAACTAGTGACCTGACTCCTAATCACTCTCTCAAATACTTTTATTATGTGGGACGTTAGTGCAACTGGTCAATTTCTCTTTCTAAAATCTGCCACTCTCGTGTTGATATCAGTTATATTTTCAGGGGTTTGGATATCACTAATAAAGAAGTTGTCCGGATATTCCACTTTCATATTGTGTATCAGGGTGCTAAACATGTCCTTATACTGCTTTTTTTAGGATTTCACTCATTTCTTTGTCATCCTCAGTGTATGAACCTTCACTAATACGAATAGGTCCAATACTGGCAGTGGTTTTTGCTTTTGATTTAACATACGTGAAGAAATATTTCGGGTGTATATTGAATTGCTTTCTGTTCTAGTTGCCTTTCTTCAATCTGATATGAATGCTTCCGTCTCTGTTCGATTTCTTCAATCTCACTGTTTAAATTATTCCTTTTTTTTGTATGGAAAGTCGTGTCTGCTTCAGCATTTCCATTAATTTTTTCTTCTTTTGTAGTGTCGTCTGGGTTCTCTTTCTACATTGGACCTCTTTCTGGCTTTCCTCACAGGAACATGTCTCAGACAGACTTCATAGACTTCAGAAGTCAGTTTTTGTATTCCTTGTGTTGGCTTCTTATTCTTTATATATGAACATTTTCCCATTGAATGTTTGTAAGTTCCCTGTTTATTTTCTCCCAGTCTATCCTTTTATTATTAAAATTGAATTTATTGAATAGGCCTTCTCGCTTGTCGTTTCTCTTGGGCCCACTACCGTTATTAATGTTAGTTTGCACTTCAATGAGCTTGTGGTCCGAGTACGTAGTGTCTGAGACAGTAATGTCTCTGATTAGCTCATCATTGTTCGTGAATATCAGGTCCAGCGTGTTCTCGTTCCTAGTTGGTTCTGTAATCTGATGACTGAGTGAGAATTTGTTGTCGGAAAACCTGACACCATTTACTAATATTAATTACAATATGCAGATAATATTGCTGCTGTTGTGTAAATAACTAACCCTAGAAATAGTGTTTATTCACACAAACTGTAGCACAGTGGAATTTTCCTCTCATGGAAAACGAGATATCATTGACATGTCGTTATTAACTTCACCAGCTATTTTGTTGGGAATTATTCAGAATACAGCAGTCTTTGGACTGTGAACATCATGATAGCATCTCACTTGAATTAACATAATTATTAATACCAAAATAGAGTAAATGCGAACCTTTCTAACACCTCTTGACGCATCTGGAGAACAAGGGCGTCAGTGCGAGGGAGGTCAAACAAGGGGCCAGATTCACGAAGCAGTTACGCAAGCACTAACGAACCTGTACATCATTTCTCAATCTTTGGCGGCTTTGTTTACAATTATTAAGGAGTTAATGAGCTCCGAAGCACCAGGAGGCTGTTTATAACAATAACAACAGTTGATTGGCAAGTTTATATGCTTGTAAACTGTTTAATAAATGTAACCAAAGCCGTCAAAGATTGAGGAAAGATGTACACGTTCGTAAGTGCTTGCGTAACTGCTTCGTGAATCTGGCCCAAGGCCAGTAGGCTGCCATTGTTAATTTTAGCAACAATGTCTCAAGTTGAGCTCACTTCAAGCTGCCCACAATAGATCCCTTGGACAGTGTTACGGGACCAGTATCGCCCCGTTGTCAACACCAACGTCTATAATAAGGAAGGTTCTTTCCAAAAATCTTATCTAATCATTCCTGGCCAGTAATGTTAAGAGGATAGGATTATTTTCCGGTTAGAACGAGAGGCAGCGCCTTAACCCAAGTAATTATTCCTTGGTTCTTAACATATAATAAATTACCATTATGTCCTCTGATATAACTGTCATATATATATATATATATATATATATATATATATATATATATATATATATATATATATATATATATTGGATTACTGCTATTATTGCAAGTGCCCTTTGATAGCATCAATTGAAGGGAAGGGAAGTATCAGGGGGAAAGCGCCAAGCCATTACGACTATATAGCACTGGGAAGGGGGGCAGGATAAGGATTTGGGATGGGACGGAGGGAAAGGAATGGTGCCCAACCACTTGGACGGTCGGGGGATTTAACGCCGACCTGCATGAAGCGAGACCGTCGCTCTACCGTCCAGCCCAAGTGGTTGGCTTAGCAACAATTGAAGAGGAAGCCAGAATTAATCCTAGTACATCAGTACATGGTGTTGACGCCAGCCTCAACCACCGGGCTCACCATAGCCCGTGCTGCTTAGAACATTTAGTTCCGAGTAGCGAATCTTGAACAACAACAATAACAACTCAACCACCAGGATTATTTGGTGTGATCATCCTTGTTCATACCTGGTGGACCCGGCCCACTACCATACAATAAGGTCTTCCAATTTGTATTACTAATATGTAGTCTAATATTGGAGTGAATGTTAGTCAATCAATTTTGATTAAGTACAAGTATAAATTTAATATAACCCCCCCCCCCTAATGTGTAAAGGAGTCGATTTGTGAGAGAATTTGCAGAAATACAGTTCACTAAACATTATATTATTTGCTGTCGAAAAACATAAATGAGGGAAGGACGACTTACCTCCGACGGGCGGGAGCTCGTAGATGAGAGTAGAGCGGGGGTTCAAACACCTGCAACACAAGAGACACATGTTACAACACCCGCAACACAAGAGACACATGTTACAACACCCGCAACACAAGAGACACATGTTACAACACCCGCAACACAAGAGACACATGTTACAACACCCGCAACACAAGAGACACATGTTACAACACCCGCAACACAAGAGACACATGTTACAACACCTGCAACACAAGAGACACATGTTACAACACCCGCAACACAAGAGACACATGTTACAACACCCACAACACAAGAGACACATGTTACAACACCCGCAACACAAGAGACACATGTTACAACACCCGCAACACAAGAGACACATGTTACAACACCTGCAACACAAGAGACACATGTTACAACACCCGCAACACAAGAGACACATGTTACAACACCTGCAACACAAGAGACACATGTTACAACACCCCCAACACAAGAGACACATGTTACAACACCCGCAACAGTCCTGGAGTTCCAAACACTAACCTTCACAAGGTCAATAAAGCTACTGACAGAAGAACAGTTAACAGAACCTGTCAACGGTCAACCTGTCAACGGTGCCACCTATGTTTTCCACATGTAATCACTATATAATCACTGCGTGTGTAATATACATTGAGCATGTGATATACATGGAGTTTGTGATATATATGGAGTATGTGATATATATGGAGTATGTATACATACATGGGACATACCTGGTTGATGGGGTTCTTGGAGTTGTTCTACTCCCCAAGCCCGGCCTGAGGCCAGGCTTGACTTGTGTTAACTTGGTCCAACAGGCTGTTGCTTGAAGTGGCCCACAGTCTTGGCCGTGTTGGCCCAGGCTGTGGGCCCACACATATCCACTACAGCCTGGTTGGCCCAGCACTTCTTGCAAGAACTTATCTAAGTGTCTCTTGAAAACATCCACCTTTATTCCGGCAATATTTCTTATGCTCGCTGGGAGGACGTTGAACAACCGCGGACCTCTGATGTTTATACAGTGTTCTCTGATTGTGCCTATGGCACCTCTGCTCTTCACTGGTTCTATTCTGCATTTTCTTCCATATCGTTCACTCCAGTACGTTGTTATTTTACTGTGTAGATTTGGGACCTGGCCCTCCAGTATTTTCCACGTGTATATTATTTGGTATCTCTCTCGTCTTCTTTCTAGTGAGTACATTTGGAGAGCTTTGAGACGATCCCAATAATTTAGGTGTTTTATCTCGTCTATGCGTGCCGTATATGTTCTCTGTATTCCCTCTATTTCAGCAATCTCTCCTGCTCTGAAGGGGGAAGTGAGTACTGAGCAGTACTCAAGACGGGACAACACAAGTGACTTGAAGAGTACAACCATTGTGATGGGATCCCTGGATTTAAAAGTTCTCGTAATCCATCCTATCATTTTTCTGGGTGACGCAATACTTGCTTGGTTATGCTCCCTAAACGTTAGGTCGTCGGACATCATTATTCCCAAATCATTAACATGCTGTTTTACGACTATGGGAAGATTTGATTGTGTTTTGTACCCTGTATTATGTTTAAGGTCCTCATGTTTACCGTACCTGAGTACCTGGAACTTATCTCTGCTAAACATCATTTTATTTTCTGCTGCCCAGTTGAAAACTTTGTTAATATCTGCTTGTAGTTTTTCAATGTTTTTAGCAGCCATGGAAAAGTCCCTCCTCACTCAACACCCCCCCCCCCCTCATACAACACCCACACACAACACCAGCTCGAAACCTTCCCTCCCACTAAACACTTTCTACAACACACGCCACACAACACTCCTAGCTGGGGACCTCCGCCCCCTTCTTGGAACATCACCCCCCCCCTCCCAGCAGCCAACACTACAAGACTTGACACAATTAACATCTCCAAAAATTCAACACAAACACCAAACTTGAAAGATGTGGACAAACTTGAACAAAGTCACACACAATAAACTGGGAACACCACCAAACACCGCGATGTAGAGTTAACAAAAGCAGCATTAAAAAGCGAGAGGGAAGAATGGGGGACAAAAAAATGGTATATAAGGAACGTGAAGGAAGAGGTAAGCGACTGGGAGGGATGGAGAGGTGGGAGAGGAGGAGGAGGGAGCAGCCAGCCGGTGGAGTAAGGGGAAGGAGGAGGAGAAGGAGAGTAAGACAGGTGGTAAGGGAGCCAAGGCGGTAATAACGCAGTGTGGAGGAAAACTGTGTGAGTGAAAGGTATCCATGGGAGCAGGAGCCTCGACCCCGAGGTCACTCTCTCACCATCACACTCTGAGCAAGTGGCGGCACGTGCAGGGGGGGGAGGGAGGGAGGGAGGGAGGGAGGGAGGGAGGGTGGGGAGAGAGAGGGTGGGGAGAGAGAGAGAGAGAGAGAGAGAGAGAGAGAGAGAGAGAGAGAGAGAGAGAGAGAGAGAGAGAGAGAGAGAGAGAGAGAGAGAGAGAGAGAGAGAGACAGAGAGAGAGAGACAGAGAGAGAGA